ACCCAGGCTAATCTCTATATTTTGTGGGTGAGGAAACAGAGCCCTGGAAATGGGAAATTGTCTGCATCACATAGAAAGTTGATGACAGAGTACAAATTACAAGTGAGGCTCTTCCTTTGTGCCAAAGAGAAGCCTGCTGCAACTGTTGCTCTGTATGTTTCAATTTTAGATATGGCTTGGTTATTGAAAGAGTGGGGCAGAATCTGATTCAAATACAGAGAGGCGTTGGCATTGAAATCATTCATCCTTTTGGCCCTACAATTGCAAGATGAACTTTTATTATTGGTCTGGACAAAAGAAGGTTGTTCTGTGTGGACCATGGACAGAAATGGTGCCACGTGATATGCCTTCCCAGGTGCCAGTGCAGTTTATAGGATTCTGGTTAAATATGTGAATTAGGTCCCTGTGGGGTAGTTTCTAGTACACCATAACAAGCCAGGGCATTGACTGTGGGGAGAGAAAGCATATGCCAAAAAGGATTATGTCTGCAGCTATGGCCTTAAAAATTCTTGATATCAGGTCCTGTTGACTGTAGCTGGTCTTTGGCCCTAGTTCCTATTTCACATTGGAGAAGATGAATTTCTAGTATGATTCAGATACTCAAGTTTTGTTCGGTATTTTCTGGTGATACAAAAGAAAATCATCACCACCAATACAACTACAAATTTTTGTGTCTGTGGTCCCTGGGTGAGGCTTGTGAATAGTAATGGAGGAAATGGGTGGAGCTCCAGTCTAGAGTTAGGGAGTTTCGTGTACCACAAAAGCACACTAGTCCCATATAAATGAGATTAGTATCTTTATAAAAGAGGGTTGAAGGCACTCTAGGTACAGAGAAGAAAGGCTCCAATCCGCCCTTATCAATTATTTACAAAATATCTATCCATTTGGTCTATAAATGTGTATCTTATCTGCAGCATTAAATAATGAATTTTCTCTTATATAACTATAATAATCTAACAATTTGAAAAGAAAATCCAAAAGTTATAATTTTGAGATGAGATACCATTTTGGACAAACTTGAAAAATATTAAAGCAAACTCAAAATCAGTCTAATAATTTGGATGTGTGATTTTTGTTTCTCTTGGGACCCTCAGGAGGGTCCTATGAAAGGTTTAGAAATATACTTTAGGGTTCCTATAGTTTTCTCATGTAAGGAAAATTTCTCAAATTTATCATTTTTTATAACTGAGTAGTATTTAATTATATATAGATATTCCTTTTTTATCCAATTATAGGCATTGATGGGCATACAGTCTCCTTTCAACATTTAGTTATTAGGAACTGTGTTGCTGTAAACATCAGTAAGCATGTACCACTGTAGTGTGATGACTCAAGATCTTTGGGGATGATTACCTAGCAGGAGAATAGCTGGGTCAGATGGAATTTCTAATTTCAGTGCTTATGATAAATTTTAGACATTTGTAGGAAAATGGATGCACCTGGAAAATATAATGTTGAGTGAAATAAACAAGACACAGGCTTCAATTCCATATGGTATCTCTCATTTGATTGAGGCAAAGTACAGACGAAGACAATGATAAAGGATGCATAGAAGGGGACAAGGAAATGGATTTCTTGCAATAGGAAAGTGGTCCAAGGGAACAAGTTGGAGGGGTGAGGAGGAGAATGGGAAATATGAAGAATAAAGATGTTCCATACAGGAAACTAATAACTTCAATTAATGCAAACATTAATATATCATAACATGAGCTAAGACAAAATGAGATAGAACTGGAGGAGGACAGAGGAAGGAGAGGGAAGTGGGAATGGGATTGAAAAAAAGAAAGAAACATCCTGTAATATGTACATGTGGCCATTTGCCCAAATGATTATAAACTATATGAACTACAAACATGTACAAATAAAATTTAAATAATTCTAAGGACAGTAGAGAAAAGGTAAAAATGTAGGTCAGTTATACTGTTAGTGTCTCATTTCATTAAAAAGAAAGGTTTGGGCTAATGTCAATTGGAGACATTTTTATGCCTATATCTTATATCCTGAGTAACTATTTTAAATATAACAATACATAATATATCAACTATTGTTATTCTCTTATTATTTTGTTATGAAATTTTGTTTTACCCTTTTTAAAAAAGAACAATGGTTACTTTTGTCCATCTTCCTCACTTACCGAAATGTCCTTTTTCCTTCTATGTTCTGAGAACTACGACCTCAAAACTACCTTAAACCAAAATTTAGGCTTGTTCCTCAAGAATTAATGAAAGATGTGTCTCTTCCCCCTGATTCTTTACATGGTTTAAGTCTCAAGAGAAAAATTCCCTTAAAGAGACAGAATGGCTTCTAGGTCTATAAGGCATCATGTAATGTATCTTCATCAAAGAGTTTCCATCATTATGAGTCAATAATTCTAACTATATTTATTTTTTGAATCTGAAGAAGGAATGTACTCAGGAGAGGAAAAAGTGGTCCCATGATGTACACATACACAGACAAGGGAATACTACTGGGTGGGGATAAAAGTTCTTACTTAAATGTTATACGGGGCAGAAGTTACCCTGTTCCATCTGGTCCTGGACAAATGTAGGCCCTGAGTATACTAACAGGTGCCGCTAACACACTGAACCTCCTAGCACCAAATAGCCATACCTGCATTCAAAACCTTTGCCTGATTTCATGACAAATAAGAAAATTATTGATTGTAACCTGCTTTCATGCAGATTTCTGCTAGGGAGGGGTGCAGTGAATGGAAGTGGTCAGTGCCATTTGCTAATAGATAATTCTTTGAAAATCAATAATCTGGAATTCCAGTTTTATATACTAAACTTATTAAAAGATTTGGCTAATGCGATTATATCCTAGAAAGACAAATTCATAAATCTTTTCTGGAAGTGCTATCAAATAGCTTTGGGTATGACAAATGGAAGTAAGGACAATGGTCAAGACCCAAACTTTGGGCAGTGTTGCCATGTATGGGCAAACACCCAGTGGTGTAAGTTAAACAGCCAACAAAGTGCCTGAGTACTACGAGTGTGAGATTGACAGGGGGTGGAGTGGGCTAATATAGGGCTCTGCCTTTGTAAGTTCTAAGTCAGAGTTTTTCAAAGCATGGTCCCTGTGTATTAAATCAGAATCTTTGTGTGCAGAGTCCAGAATCTGTATTTCTAACAAACTTGCAATGTGAAAACTACCCTGATTCCTGTTCTCTTCTTATAATTCTCTTTCCCTTAATATTAGTGGAAATGATGGGTAAGAGATAACATGATGTATCTAAAACTTATTCAGTGCATTCAACTTCTCCTTTATGCAGCTAAGATAAGCAGAGCTCCCCTAAGAAAAAAATTTCTTATAAACTTCCCTCTACCCCAACATCACATAAGCTTGTTGTCTAAATTTACAGTATTTTAGTTCAGTTGTCCATTAGGTAATGGAATTATTTTGAGAAACAAATACTGGTTTGGAGGGAGATAAATTATAGATATAAAGTTTAAAGGGATATTATGATTTTAAGCAATTGACAATTTAAGTAGCATTTACTTAGAATACGTTGTATTCTTTGCACCCAAACCTACCTAAATATGTGAGTGAAGGAGACTTAACTTTCTTTTTATCTTTTCAGCCATCTTCTTTGTCCTCATAACTTTGCCTCTAAGGACATCAGGCTAGTTTCTGGTGCCTTAGTCTCTCTTGGCACCCCAAACAACCTGTGCTACAAACTTAATTTTCTCTCATCAAAATGTATCCGTTGTAGTGGTCTGAATATTTGGGTCCCTCCTTAATTCCTGTATTGAATCTTAACCCTCTAGGTGATGTTATGAGGAGGTAGAGTAGAAGTGTTTGAGGATGCAGCACATTTGAATAGGCCTGAGGGAGAATGTTTGACCCTTTTCCAGTTAGTCAATAGAGTTTTATAAACCAGAAAGAAAACCTCATTGGACACAGCTCTTGACCATGTAGGGACTCTGATCTCAGAGTTCAGCAAATAAATTTTTGTTTCTAAGTTTCCTCAGTCTATAGCATTCCATTATGGCAGCCTGAGATTGCCAAGACATCTGTGTTGAATTTCATTCCTACCTACTGCTTAACTAACCGATTATTTCTCTGGAATAAAATATGTCTAACTTACCTAAGACAAAGCTTTGGTACATATAATAGTTTAAAGTTTTATGCCCAAGGATCCTTAAAGTCCTAATTTGTTAAATCAGTTATTTCTAATAATGTAGTCTATTGGCATCATAGAAGAAAAATATTTGGTCAGACAGACCTTTCTAGTATTGCTAAAATTATACCATGGAATAACCTACTCTGATTAATTTTAATAACAGTTTTGTTTAGTACTGAGGTTGAAAATAATAGTATAAGGAGCCTGAATAAAACTGAAGATCCAAAGCCAAGTAAAATAGGTGATAAAAGGCCCTTGTTCCAAAGAACATACTCAAAATGCATTAAAATTTAACTAAAAACATGAGTATCTATCATGCCCAGCAGTATATTTAAGATAAGACTGGAAATTCAGAAAGAAGGATTTAAATAAACAGTAAGTTCTTGGCTTTTCTGCAGACCTCCTGAGATCTTCTTATGATAGAAAAAAAGCATTGTGGTGTAACTCTTGGCAAAAAAATTATATGCATTCTTTGGAATTGAGCTGTACTTGGAATCAAAGAGACTGCTATGGATTATACCTAAAATGTTCCCTTGGAGTCTCATATGTTCAAAAGTGGATCTTTTGGAAGATGACTGGATCACTGGAACACCATACTTATCAGTGGACTGATACATTGTTGAGTTCATAGCTAAATGTGCTGTTAAGAGTTCAGGCTGTGTCTTTGGAAGTTCTGTCTCCTTCCCAGCTTCTCTGTCTGTTCTAGGCTTTCAGACTGCTATGAAATAAGCAACTTTCCTCTACCCCACTCCTCCACCATGATGTTCTTTCTTTCAAGCCAGTGATCATGGACTGACCTCCCTCAAACCATGAATCAAATTAAACTAAAATAATAATTAAATTATGCATATCAGACATTGTGTTTCAGTGACAAGAATGGTGACTGATTTGGAAACAAATACCTATTTTTCCACTGGAAAATTTAGGAAGAAAAACTGACCGAAACAGTGTCTGTCAAGAGTTGTGCAAGAGTAGAGGAACCAGGACACATAGGTACTTCCACTATTTAGTGGGCTGAAATGAAGTTCCTGAGAGCCAAGAGGACTGTGAGCAAGGTAAGTAGCAGGAGTCATTTCTCAGGGAACTTGAAAAGAGGAATTCAGGGATGACAGAGGTAGGATACAGAAAGCATAGGGGTTTTAAATTCACCAAGGTGGCCATTTTATCTAGTTTACCTAGTCAAATGGTGAACCTTTTAGAGTTTTCAGTGATACAAACAGCCTGCTGCAGCGCGCATGCCATAGGTTCGACACCACTGAATTCTAGTCCCTTCTGGATGACAGGTGTGTTTTCACGACTTAATTTGTTAAATTAAAAATTGAAAAACATATTGAATTCAAAAAAATTAATTGAGTTAGGAATGATTTGTGAATTGGGTAGCACCAAGAACTAGAATAGGTGCAGAGCAACTGTGGCCTACCACATGAGCAGGTTATATTTCTAGCTTGCAAACTAAAAGTAAATATAGAAAATGGAAGTGAGGAAGAGATAGCCCAATTGGTTACAGATTGCATCTATCTTATTTGAACACAGTTTGAAGAGAGTTGGCTGCTTATGATTGACTGTTATATAGTTACTTGTTATCAGAGTAGTTATAGACTGTTTCTACATCAAGTTAGGCTGCAATTCACTGTGTTTACAGAAACCTCTAGGGCAAACTTAAAATATGTATGATGTTTTAGGTCAAAACTATTCCAATTTTACAATTGCATCCTTTTGGTCAGCCTCTCGAATGTCACTCTCTGTCACAATCACAAATGGGCTTATTTGCTCTCATCTCCCATCTCACAGTAGCAGAATGATGGGTTTTGTAAGATGGTCACAAGGGGAGAGAACAATAGAAAAAGACTGGTCAATATCACGTTGACCTTTAAATTACTGTGTTTTTGTAAATAGCTAAAGAAGAGCCTTTTTGTAAGGGTTAAGGCAGAGGAAATTTCCTTATGGTGACCAAGGTAGACTAGAATCTCCTGTTTTCAAGGTAGTGGGGACTGTTTTGTTTTGTATTCTATCTACTTTTTTAAAGTTTCAGTTTAATCATTTGGCATTTACCATGAATAACTCCATTTTGGTTTGATTTGGTCCGTTAGGGCTTAGTGTAGAGCTCTGTTCACAACAGTAGCCTCCCATGATCTTGCCTACTATATATTATAAGACTGTAATATGTTAGAGGCAATAGAGACCACAAAGGTCTTTAATCAGGTGTCATTTTCAAGAAGGGATCTGGTCTCCTGAAAGGCAAAACAATGTATCCAAAGTCCATTGTGCCAAAAAAGCAGGTCCAGAACTCAAATCCAGTGTTCTCGTGCCAAAATCAACTTTAACTTTTATTTACCATGCTGTTCTTCATCTTGAAAGTCTCTATAATAGCAGATGCTTAGAGCCTGACATGGTTTCAAGCCGTCTATAGACTGAGGCCCCTTAGAGCTTGAGCCAGGCCATTGTCCTTTGTTCATTGTGGGGCAGATAGGGATGCAGGATTGATCTCATGAATGATGAGGGCTCTTTTGCTTTAGATATAGTTTCACCCTCACCAAAAGATTTTGAGGGATAGCTCAAATCTCTACTCCTCCCTTGTGTGCTGCCTGAGCTTCTTCCCTGAGCACGGACAATACTCACTGCCATGCTATGATCCAGGCCTGGAAGCGGATGCTCATCTGATGACTACGGCCAACACTGCAGCAGTGGGTGGATCAGTTTGGAGGCTGTAGTTTCAGCCACATATGGTCTTTCAAAAACAGGGTTAGACAAGCAAGCTGACCCCAGTGGTTTGAACTAACTTTCAGCCTCATCTTTGCTAAGCTTCCCCAGGCCTCCCCTGGGGTTCTGTTTTCAGTGCTTGCCGCTGTAAAAGATTGTAGTCCCTTAAGAGCTCTTTGTGAAAGAGAATGATCATGTTCCTCTACCTCCTCCATGGCCCAACTGATTCCAGGCAAGATAGCATGGATAATGCTTCTTGGTCCCTTTGGGACATCAGATACTGAAGGCAATTCTTTCTCCATCAGAGTTTTGATTTGATTTTGTAGCTTTTCCTTCTAGAGTTTCAAAGTAAGTAAAATGAAGCCTTCCTGTGGCATTTGGAAAACCTGCTGCTCAGCCCTTTTTCCATACCTCAATAGGGAGTTAGAAGAGCAAGTCAGATCTCTCGATACCTCCACATTTCTAAGCATCTTGATTTTAGAAAACAACATAATATCTAGGCTTCTGTTTTGTTTGTTTATACCTGCTGCTCAGTATTGTTCTCCCAACCACAGAGAGTGCTGCTGCTGTATTTCCCAGCCTGGAAGAACTCATTTGCATTTTCCACTTTCCCTTAAGAGTACATAAAACCATAACAACTCCCATACAAACAGCAGCAATACCTACTACTAGGGGATTTGCCTACTTCCGACCAGTATTGCATTTTTCTTGTTAAGTTCGCTTTGTCAGCTGACTGCACTGAGGCCTTTCAGATAATCCATTAATTGTGGTGAGCTGCAGGTCTCCCTCATGAAGCACTTCTGATTCAGGCTTTCTGCTCTTTCCTGTGCAGCTCTGACACTGTGATGAAGATGCGATTGGCATATAAATCTGCTCTCTCACGCCAGAGCAAGCAATGAAAGCAGAGCATGCACTAGACCTCCAGGTACTGTGGAATAAAATGTAGCAGCCACAGACCTAGAAAGGACAGAGCCTGTGTTCCTACAGGGTATTTCCAAGGGTATTTTCCCACTGGAGGGCAAACAAGACAACTTTGGAAAAACTGCTATCCTTGAATTGCACTCTTTATGTGTTCTTGAGTGTCCTTGAGGGCTTGGGACGTGATACTAAACCTATTTCAACAAATACATGTTTTTTATGATGTTTTCCAAAGGGTTGTTAGGGGAATTCAGAACATGGGGCTCAGCCTTTGATCTCAACATCCTATCAACAAGTGCTCAGATACTGATTTAATAAAATAGTTGGAAATAATAATCTTTTCCTGCTTACAGCTGGGCAAGTTAATAATGAGCAGATATTGTCAGTCTATGAAGGATCTTGCATTCTTTTTTCTTTTTTTTTCTGATCCCGGGCCCGTGAGACCAAGAATACCCGTCATGTGCCAAAATCCTGAGAGAGGGCTAACTGCTGAGGATATCGTATGGAGCAAGGTAGGTATGTTAAAGAGACCTGAAAACATAGGAGGTTAAAGCAGAAAGATATGACATTCCTGTCTCTTCTAGAATATGACCTTTTACATATGTATTAAAATGCACATGTATAACATCATGTACATATAACAATGTTTTGGTCAATGAAAGTTTACATATATATCTATATCTATATCTATCTATCTATCTATCTATCTATCTATCTATCTATCTATCTATATCAGTTGCCCCATAAAACTGTGGTGAGGCTTAAATATTCCTATTATTTTTATGGTACCTTTTCTGTGTTTAGATACATAAATGTAATTATATTACAATTGCCTACAGTGTTCAGTATCATAACATGTTGTGCAGGTTTATAGCCTTGGAACAATAGGCTACACCAGAGCATAGGTGTGAAGCAGGCCGAGCCATTTAGATTTGTGTAAAGATACTCTAAGATGTTTACTCAATGATAAAATCATCTAATGATGAACTTATCAGAACATATTTCTGCCTTTTAGTGACAAATGACAGTGTTGAGCCTTCTTCATATTTTCACCCAAACATCATCTATCTCCAAATGACTAGGTATTCTAAACTGCAGCTACATGTTTTGAATTTTCTGTGTTTAGGCTATGTTTTCTCATGGTGTGGTTCCTGGACCTGCAGCATTAGCATCATTGGAAACTTGTTAGAAGTAAAGATTCATAGGTCTTACTCTAGAATTACTGAGTCAAAAACTCCAGGGACAAGGCTCAGAATTTTGTGCTTTCACAAGCTGTCCCTGAGTTTCTGTTACATGGCCAAGTTTGAAAAACACTGCTTTAGGAGGATCTGTGATCACTGCTTCTAATACCATTGTGCTTTTTTCTATTCCAAATGGAAACCAATAGTCAAAGAAAAATCAGAAGAAACACTCCATCTAGAGAAAATGGCACAATTGTCATGAGTATTCCCCTTGCTAAGATTGTCTTTGTCTCTTCTGGCATCTAGTTGTGAAAGTGGGTGAAAGTGGATGGTATGGGGGGAAGAAGGATCTGCAGGCTTGATGACTTGAGAGATTTTTAATAATGCCAATTTTGGTGAGCTTTTGTTCCATGAACAACTCATATTTTCCTTGGCTCCAGAAACTTTCTTAATAAAAAAAAACCATTTGAGCTGCAATGAAGCATCATTACTAGATTTCTGGTAAAGATAAAAGGGACATAGGGAATGGGGTGCCTTATAAGTTGTAGTGCTTTATGGAGCTAAATGTCAAGTTAAAGATTATTTTCTTTGATGTTAAGGTTACAGAAGATGTTGAGTCAAAACCATTCAATGAGGCAGAAAGACCACACATTCCTTTTTGTGATATACTTGATAACTTTGAGTTATTCTCTTGGTGTCTGTCTCATCTACTTGCCCTACTCCTTTAATGATAGAACCACATAGACTGTATTTGGTACTGAGAGTGTTCATAATCTAAACACTTCTTTTTTTTATTTAAAGAGAAAAAAGAAAGGACATAAAAAACAAAGCAGTAAAAGGGTACAAGTAATACAGAATTTCAAGAAAAAAATACAGTAAGAAATCACTATTTAATAGGTTACATATTGTTTTCTTAGAAACAGTTGTCCAAATTATAAAATTAAAGCATATAAAGTGGACATTCATACAGTGACATTGTAGACAGTTCCGTTCAATGATCCAACAAAAGCTCAGTAATATGGTTTTCCATCCTACACACTCAAACATACATGCAGTTATATCCCTTAGTCCACCTTCCTTTCCTCTCTTTTTTAGAATAACAATTACACTTTTTGGGTTTTATTACTCCCACAGTTCTTATTACTTTTTTTTTTGAAGAGAATAAAACCAAACGTGACTAAGCAAAACAGTCAGAACAGAAGGATGGGCATAGTACATGATGCAAAAATAGAAACACTTCTTAAATGTGGCATTTTTGGTGTGAAGAATCCCTGGGCATATGGGGAATACGGGCTCTTTAACTTTGTGAGGGGTGAGTGTTGCATGACATTCTGCCCAAAGAAAGAGAATTTCCCAGTGGGCCACTGAGTGGATGCTGGAGCTCTGCCAACTCTCTGTCTAGTTGGTTTCATTAATTTCTGCTGGTATCAGTTAGCCAGTGTACAGCCCAGCCCCAGTAACCACATGAGTCAATCAATAAACATATGCTGAAGAACAACTGGGTGTGGAAAAATGCTGAAAGTTTAGGGTTGTGTTGGGTGTTTTCTTTGCTTTCAAGGACTTCAAACTCTGAATGAACTCTTTAAGAAAGCCCTAACACACTAGCCAAATGCAGGCATTGTTACAATGCAGATCAGAGCATGCTACTGCTCTGTGCAAAACTCCCCTAGGCTTGCTTTGCAGATGCATCCAGGCCTACTAGACTATCCATGTTCCAGGTCCCCATGTCCCTTTTGACCACATCCTCTTCCTACTCAGCCCTTATTCACAGGGACCATGAGAAGCACAGTCCTGAGCCCCTGCTTTTGAACTTTTGTTTCCCTTGCCTACATTGTGTCCTACTTTGTACCTATCATTTCTATTTTTTTCTTTTTTTTAATCAGTATTGAGGCTTGAACTCAAGACCATGAGCTTGCAAGGCAGGCACTTATGCCGCCGAGCTAAATTCCAAGCCTTTTATTTTTATTTTTTAAAAAAATCCCTTAACACTGGTTACCATTTATTATACTGCATATATTTCATTTATTAGTTATGTTTCTCAGTAGAATGAAGAATCTGTGATAGCAGGCTTGTCGTTTATTTTATTCAGACAATTAAAGAATAAATGAATGCATCTGGGTGGGCCAGTGAACAGAGGATAATTTTCAGCACTGCTGAAATGTCACCTATTTCTTCACTGGAAAAGCACAGCCTAATATAAAAGTTGGAACCAATATTGAAAATTATTCTCTTCCAGCACAGCCTTACCTAAAACCATTGTATTTTGCTTCTTAAAAGCTCATGATCAAAGTTCTTAGGCAAGCGAATAAATGGGCCTCAAATTACGATCCAATTTGCATGTGATGCTTTACATTGTATTTTAGGATCAAGTGAATGCCAGGCCAAACTGCCAACTCTAAAACATGTATATATTTTTACTATTCAACAAAGTTATTCCAGAAGTGCCTCAGTTCATTCTATTAATTCCCTGAAGTCATTTGTTTGTTGAGTGCATACTATGTGCTAGGTACTTCTCTAGATGTAGAGACACAGAAATGAACAAGCAAGACAGATACATCTGCTTTTATGGAGCTTACACTCAAGGGGGAGAAGTAGATAATTACCATGACAAATATGTACTTGTGATACTTCATGTATCACAAGTAAGGTGTATGTAAAATATGTAAGGTGATACTTCATCTTATAAAAAAAGCCACAAACCACAATTCCGATTTTATTTTCAGTGGAGCAAAGCCACTGATACTGCATATAATTTCTTTTTAGGATATGAGACCCATGTGAAATTTAAGTTTTTACATAAATATATACCCTCTTAGAATTAGCATCAGGTGGGCGAAGGAGTAGTGGAACAACCACCAATGACTGCATTTCATCTTTGCCACACATACCTGTATGTTAGAAAATACACAAAATTGCTAATAGGCTTCTAGGAGCAAAAATTACTTTTTTGCCTAACAAATAATAAGCACTATGGTAGGCTGAGTAATGGCCCCCAAAGATGTTCATTCATGTCCTAATTTCTAGATTCTGTGAATTTGCTACCTTACATGAAAAAAGGCATTTTGAGGATGTGATTAAGTTAAAGATTTTATGAGAGGGGGATTATTCTGGATTATCTAGGTGAAACCAATGTAATCACAAAAGGCCATGTAAAGAGCCAGGAAGGAGAATCAGAATCTGAGGAGGAGACGTGATGATAGAGGACTAGGCTAGACTGATGTAGCCATGAGGCAAAGGATACAGATAGTCTCTGCAACTTGTAAGAGGCAAAGAATGGGTTCTCCCTTGTACCCTTCAGAGGAAACAGAAATTCTCAGGGTATTGGTAAAGACCCATTTTGGACTTTTGACCTTCAAAACTATAATATCATAAATATGTATTTTTAAAACCATTAAATTCATGGTAATTTGTTACAGTAGCAATAGGAAATTAACACAAGCACTTACTACATATGAGCAGTCCCTTTACATTTATTATTTTACTTAACCTTACAAACAACACTCCAAGTAGTAGGCCCTACTACAACTGTCAGTTTGAAGTGGTAAAACCAAGGCTAAGAATAACTATAACCAGTGAGCTCACCTCTGCTCACGTGAAAACTAAGTGACAAAGTCAAGTTTTTTAACTAAGGTCTTTCCTCCTCTTAATTTGGAATCCCTGAATAGTATGTTACCCTTCCTTAATACATTTTTGGTAGGAACATTGAATTTAAAAACATCAGTGGAAAAACAGACTGCATTTTTGTTTTAGTAATGAAGGGCAAAACTTACTAAACTGAAGTCTTGTTAAAGACCCTTGCCTAAAACACAGTAGATGTTTAAGAGGTATTTGGTCAAGCAGCCAAGCCTGGTGTGCTGGTGGAACTGTATGGAATATATGCTATTTATTTTATGTAGGCTGTTGTTTCTAAATTACTACAGCTGTTTATTTGCAGTAAGGCTTGGGTGGGAAGCCTTGGCAAGATGGCCAACCCTCCCCACCAGTATGTGTCTCTTGGCAGAGCCATTTGTGTAGTTACTTTCAGAGTTACCACGCAAATGGTGGAAAGCTGTGAGCCCAAATAATTAAAACTACCGAGAATAATCAGGAATCATTTCTCCTCAGTTTTTGCATGCACATGAATATCTCTATCTCCTCATCAGATTTATCTTAAAGTAGCTTATACTTTCTGAATTTATATTAGCTCATATTCAGGGAAGTCAGTAGGTACAGGGTGGGTGCAAGAGGAAAGACAGGCTCAGGTGGAAATTATGTTATTGATTGCCTACCTGAGATTTGCCACCTGAGGAGAATTGCCACCAGGTTTCCACCTGAGAATTTAGAGTGGATGT